TCTGAATTACAGTTCTTAACATTAGGGTAGGGAGCAGCTTGTCATCCTAGCCAGATGTCTCTCTAGAACTTTCAAGCAATTTCCCAACTCCAAAAAAGAAAGCTGCCTTTGCTAACTAATGGGTTCTCTTCAAAGGGCTTCCCTGGCCCATTCAGCTCAATTAGGAAATGGAGAACTCCTAGAGCCTAGTGTGCAGAAGGTAAGGCTCTGAGGAAATACCTTCAACAGGTCTCCACCTGCTCCAATTCTCACTCCAATCCCCACTCAAAACCAAAAGCAGCGCTGCCTGGTGTAGCTCAGTGGATTCAGCACCAGCCTACAAAATGAAAGGTCGCTGAATCAATTCCCAGTCAGGACACATACCTGGGTTACAGGTCAGGTCAGGTCCCCAGTTAGGGGTGTTAAGAGGCAAGCACACATTGATGTTTCCCGCCCTCTCTTTCTCCTTCCCTTCCCCTCTCTCTAAAAGTAAATAAATAAAATCTTTTTTTTAAGCGAGCTTCGAGCCAACGTGAAGGGATAGGTAGATTCATTTTGCTGCCTCACACGACCAAAAGAAGGATAAAAACCAATTTAAAAACAAAAACAACCAGAACCACCAGAAAACTGAATTATATGGAAGTCTGACAACGAGGGAGTTAAAGAAGAAACATTCATCCAGACTGGTAGGAGGGGCAGAGATGGGCATCCAGGGTGGCAAGGACAAGTGACAAGGCCATGGCTGATGGAACCCATCGGTCCCACATTCACATGCAGATAAGCTGGGAGAAACAACTCAGGAGCAAGACACACTGCACAACCCAGGGTCCCAGTGCAGGAAACTCAAGCCTCAAAACCTCTGGCTGTAGAAACCTGTGGCGGTTGTGGGGTGGGAGAAACTCCCGGCCTAACAGGAGAGAGTGTTAGAGGGGTCCACAGGACCCTAGAACATACACAAACCTACCCACTCAGGAATCAGCACCAGAAGGGCCCAATTTGCTTGTGGGAAGTGGGGAAAGTGACTGAAAGCAGGGCAAGAGCTGAGTAAGCGGCATTATTGTCTCTGACCCCTCCCCACATACAGCATCACAACACAGTGACATCCATAGCCCCACCCTGGAGAATACCTAAGACTCCACCCCTTACTACATAACAAGCACACCAAGACAAAAAAACATGGCCCAAATAATAGAACAAATCAAAATTCCAGAAAAAGTACAACTAAGTGATGAAGAAATAGCCAACCTATCAGATGCAGAGTTCAAAACACTGGTAATCAGGACACTCACGGGAATGGTCGAGTGTGGCCACAAAATAGAGGAAGTAGTGAAGGCTACGCAAAGTGAAATAAAGAAAATGTACAGGGAACCAACAGTGAAGGGAAGGAAACCGGAACTAAAATCAACAATTTGGAACAGAAGGAACAAATAAACATTTAACCAGAACAGAATGAAGAAAGAAGAATTAAAAAAAAAATGAGGAAAGGCTTAGGAACCTCTGGGACCACTTTAAATGTTCCAACATCCGAATCATAGGGGTACCTGAAGGGGAAGAGGAAGATGCCGCAGTCCAGCCGCAGCAGGATCCAGGGGTCCCGAAGGTGGGTAAGGCGTCAGCAATGGGTAACAGATGACAACTCGCCTCAAAGGACAGTGAAGCTCTGTTCCATTTATTGCAAGTACAAGCAGGTTTTTATATTTTCATTTTAGGTAGTGATTAACATTTGCAGTATAGCATGATCGGTTAAGCAGAAAAAATCAATACAAAGGTAACCAGGAAAAACATGAAAGTTCCCATAGATTCAGTTATAATAAACAAAGATTATTTTGACCAGGAGAGCCATAAATCAGACAATTAAAAATATCTGTATGTGCAGAATTTGAGTATCTTATTATATATGAAAATTTCTCAGAATCTGTCATGGGGCAAAAGGATACGCTAGATTGAGTGGAGGTAATAGGAAATTTATTATAAGGCCTTTGTGATGTCTAACTTAGCTATCTAGCCTTTTCTGTCTAAAATGTTTCTCTGTGTACTATAAACTCTTTAGTAACTGTTTCTACACGTTTAGTTTGTAATAACTAGCCAGCTTTTGCTATTACTTTGCCTAATTGATATATATTCTTATTCAAGGTAAAGGAGGGGCTGTTACTCCCAACAACTTTTAAACATTTAGGAACTATTTCATTAGAGGGAACTTTGTTCTCGGGTCAAGAAATTATTTTGTACAACTTCATTGGAATTATGAGAATCAATGAACCTGAAATATAAGTGTCTAAAAATCCCACCACCTTTTGATCACCCAAACAAACATGTAACTTGTTTTTCTTATTTCTGGTACACCATGGTGGTCCTGATTGCTTTAAGTTGCTCAAACCAGGGTAATTTATACAACTTGACAGGTTTTCCCTTATGGTTAACAATTATATTACCCTGGCTGTCGTACACCCCTGTATAAGGGAGAGGGGAATCTGTGGAGATTTTTCTATCCTTTCAGGCAGTTCCGTGGGGAATATTAATGTTTTCCCCTGAACTGTTCCCTCCTCTTGGGTGACTTTCACAGGAATAAGTAAGTACAGTACAATGTCTATATTCAGGAGCAAAAGTAAAATAATTAAAATAAAAAAGCCAATTGTTAACCCATTTTGGATGCCACGTTCTCTTCTGGGGAGATGAATTCCTTGAACTCAAATCCTCCATGCCCGGACCTTGTCAGACAACATGGTTGGAAGAGGACATGGCAGGAAGAGCAACACATGGAAAACTTATTTGAACAAATAATAAAGAACTTCCCCAATCTGCAAAGGAAAGACTTCCAGGAAGTCCAGGAAGCTCAGAGTGTCCCAAAGAAGTTGGACCCAAGGACACACGCACCAAGCAAAGCACATCATAATTACATCACCCAAGATGACAGATAAGTATAGAACCTTAAAAGCAGCAAGAGGAAGGGAGGCAGTCACCTATAAAGGAGTGCCCATAAGACTACCAGCTGATTTTTCAAAAGAAACCTTACAGGCAAGAAGGGGCTGGAAAGAAGTATTCCAAGTCACGAAAAGCAAGGACCTACATCCAAGATGACTCTATCCAGCAAAGCTCTCATTTAGAATGGAAGGGCAGATAAAGTGCTTCTCAGATAAAGTCAAGTTAAAGGAGTTCATCATCACCAAGCCCTTACTATATGAAATGTTAAAGAAACTTATCTAAGAAAAAAGAAAATCAAAACTATGAACTGTCCTGGCTGGTATGGCTCAGTAGATTGAGTGCCAGCCTGCAAACCAAAGAGTCATTGGTTTGATTCCCAGTCAGGGCACATGCCTGGGTTGCAGGCCAGGTCGCCAACAAGGGGCACATGAGAGGCAACCACACACTGATGTTTTTCTCCTCTCTTTCTCTCTTCCCCTCTCTAAAATAAATAAATAAAACCTTTTAAAAAACATGAACAGTAAAATGACAACAAACCCACAACTATCAACAACTGAACAGGAAAAAAACAAAAGCAAACAACTACAACAGGAAAAGAATCACCAAAATGGCGATCAGACAGAGGGTTATCAGTGGGGAGACAGAGAATGGGGAAAAGTTACAGGGAATAAGAAACACAAATGGTAGACACAAAAGAGACAGGGGGATATTAAGAATAATATAGGAAATGAAGAGGCCAAAGAACTTGTGTGTATGTTCCATAGACATGAACTAAGGTGGGGAATGATGGTGGGAGAAGAGCTACAGGGGGAAGGGGAATAAAGGGGGAAGGGGAATAAAGGGGAGAAAAAATGGGATAACTGTAATAGTATAATCAATATACTTTTAAAAAAGTAAAAGCACATGGAAAACCTGGCTTTTCATGCTCAGGGAATGATGTGCATATTCCCCATAGGAGAGAACCCTGATTGGAAAGAACTATCTCTCGGAGACTCGCGAAACATTTCAACAGCAAGGTATGCAGGCAGCTGGCACCCACATTACATGATCAGGAACGCACCTGGCCTATTCAGAAGCAGTCCTGCCTGAACACATCCCGTCAGGCCCTGAGACATTAGGAAGAAATGTCCAAAACAGCAGCTAGTGGGTAGGGCCATGTAAGTTCCCCTAAACTCCACCTCCCTGCCCTCCAGCCCCTACTGCATTTCCATTGGGGACTAAAAACAGAGAAGTGCTCTGAGCTTAAGCAAGCATCACATCTTGGAGACAGAACCACTATCTGTGGCAGACCCAAGCCAATACTTTGGGAGTCCAAGCAGGGAGACATACTGATCACTAACCAGAGCAAAACATACATTTAACAGCCAGATGAGAGCTTCACTAATTCCTCTGGTCTCTGAATAATCATGCCACCACGACCTACAAAATGTTCGCTTTCCATCTTAGCACCACCAGCCCCAGGCCCCATCCCTGAGCATGCCCTAGGACCAGTTTATCTTTCAAGCCCCTGCTGTTCACCTCTATGTGGGGTTTATAGAACTTCAGTGCTGGAAGAACATGGAAAATCCTGAAGTTTGACCCAGATCCAGAAAGGTCTGAGATCTGATCTGCTCCCTAGATATACTGCCAGAACTCTTCATCACCCCTATACTACAGGACACAGCAGCTTCCTTCCCAGTTAGGGTTCTTGTCTACTGGGTCACTCACTCCCCTAATCATGACCTATTCCAGGTTGGAGAGACTGATGCTAGTAAGTGACTGGAGAACAGCACTACTTAGACCAAAGTCAGCATGCGCCAGTTAGTTTTTCTTGGTTTCAATTCTGGAACATCCTCAAGGAGCTGCCCCAGACACAGGAGGTGGTCATCACATGGTCCACAAAAACTGCTGGTTAAAGTGAAGGACCTACCAGCAGTACCCCTCTTCATGGGTAAAGGAAGGGAGTCTCTTCCCCAAGAGAAAAACAGGAACACTTAAGTGGTCTGTCTCTGAGAAGCCAAAGCTATACAGTACATGTGGAATATGGCACAGGGCTTTGCTGCCAAGGCCATGGCAAAGGGTCTAGGTCAGGCAGCTGCCCTCAGCCACAGCTCACTCACCAATGAACAGCAACACAAGGATGACAATGAGGACCACAAAGAAGGTGTTACTATAGGTCACTACCAACTCCACCAGGCGGGACTTGAAAACCTTCTGCCATCTGTGAAGAAAACAAAAAAGACAGGGGCTGTAGAAAAAGAACACACTTGGGATCAGAGTCTTGAGAATAGAAACTCAGTGTTGCAGTCTTCTCCAATGGTCGAATACCCCGTACAGACTCAGCCTCAACTGCCTGCACTTTTCCGATTTATGACATCCACTCAAGGATGTTTATTTAAAAAAAAGATACTTGTCCATAGATAGAAATTTCTAGAAAACCAGTTTTAAACACTGGTAGTCTCTGGGAAAAGAAGTGGGAACCTCACCTTTCACTGTATTCCTCTATGTAGTATTCAAAAGGCTTGCCACATACACATTATTTCTTTAAGTTGTTCTTCCACATGACCAAGCTTGGTTCATCTAGAATCCCACCACCCTGGATTATTATGAAGCAGGCCCAATCTCCCTTCAGTTCCCTCCACGAGTATTTAGTATGTAGCTCTTTCAGAGAGCTTTCAAAAATGGTTAATGTAAGCACAATACCATCACCAAACCTCATGAAAATCAGTAAATACGCTAAAGAAATTTTTGAAAAACAAACACACGCACACACAAAAGAAGAAAATCAGTAAGAATCCCTCATTATTAAACCCAGAATCCCAAAGTCCAATTGTCGCATTTCTTAATAGCTGGTTTGTTTGAATCCAGAGAGACAAGTTTCCGATTCTGCATTTAGCTGAGAAGTATCTTAAATCTCTTACTCTATGAGCCCTTCCCTTGTTCTCATTTTTCTTTCCCAATTTACTTTATGTAGAAACTAAGTTATTTATCCTACAAAGCTTCCCAGATTCCAGCTCCAAGGGAGTCTCTGTCTCTGTATTCTCTCCAAGCTGAATGAGGTGTGAAGATTCAGATCAGGCTTCTGGCAAGAATATTTCTTAGGCAGTGCTGTGTAACTTTTCTTTTAATTTTATTTATTGATTTTAGAAAGAAAGAGGAAGGGGGCAGAGAGAGAAACATCGATTTGTTGTTCCACTTATTTATGCATGCATGTGCCCTGACAGAGGATCGAACCCACAACCTTGGTGTATCAGGACACTCTAACCAATTAAGCTACCTGGCCAGAGCTATATACTTCCTACTGTATCACATCAGATATTTTTTCATTAAAAAGTTTTTAAAAATATCTGTGGAGAATCAGCCTTATTTGTAATGTTCTAATTTAAGTCAGAATGTGTTCATATGCTATGTGCAATTAAAATTAATCTCCAATTAATTTCCAATTAATTTTTAACAGGTCCTCTATTCACTGAAAGGGAATATGGCTTCACCCTGAATAGGCTGAGTAATGCTCATGAGGCTACTACATAATGCCAGTGAGACTGGTTAGTAGGACAGAAGTCACTAAGCCAGCAACAACGTGACACTGTGGTGCAAGTCTTCTGGATCTCACATAGTCATCCTCCAAACCACAAGGACCCAAGGGAAGGCAGAAGGGCATCATTCCCAGGACCTTAAGCAGAGCTAGCCTTTTCCCCTCTGGTACATTCATAAGGCCAGAAGGCAGGATGCACAGGAACTGTGTAGAAGGCTGGCAATAGTAAACACAACCCCTGCCACCCACCACCTCAGACGCAGTCTACCTATTTCTGTCTGGCCCCAATTCCAGGGTCCACACATAAGTTACAGGTCTGGGCAACAGTCACCTTCTTACTTGCTTGCCTGCTTGCTCCATAGGCCATACCTTTTGGGTGAAATGAAGGGAATGCAAAGAAGCAGCACAACAAAAACCTCTGCATAGAGGAAGGTGGCAACCGCAGTCCACTGCAGACTCATCCTGTTGCTAGAAGGTTTCCAACAGGAAGATGTGAGCTTGTTTCCTACAAGGCACAAAAGAAACAGGAGTCATAAAAGCTGGACAGCCATGCTAACCTGGAAACGGGGCTCACTCAGCACGGAGACCTGAGCATTAATGCACAAAGACCTAACCAACTTCCACCTGCCGGGGCGGAGTCACTTTGCTGCCCCGCAGTTTGTGTGTTATCTCATAGAGAGACACCTTTCTGAACCTTCCCCTTGGAGCCCAAGAGACTCCTTGTGCCTCTTTAAATGGGAATGCAGTTTTAATGAGAATTATATAGACGAGGAAATTCTCAACATCCCCCAGGCCGCTCCCTTCCCAGCCACGGGGAGCTAGAGGCTCCCAACTCCCAGCCAGACCCGCAGCGGCAGTATTTCAGCAACACACGTTCTCCAAAAGCCAGGACACCTCCCCGACCCCCGACCCCCGTCCTTAGGGAAACCAGGAGGCCCTTCCCTCTCAGATATTCCGAAGGGGCCGAGAGAAAACCAGCAGCTCCCTCAGGGGCTAGAGCGGGGGCTAACAGGATTTCCAACTGCCGCGCCTGCCTCCGATAGGTCTGGAGGACTCGGAGTACCTAAAAAAGCCCACAAGAGCGACTCCTACAGGGCGGGAGTCAGAGCCAAGAGGAAACACAGTCTCGACTAAGAATGTCGGGGCTCCATCCAGAGAAACTTCTAGAAGCTATCTCGGCAGAAGCCAGAAGATTCCCTCACGAACAGCCCCGGTCGGCCACAGCTCCCACCAGGCTTGGGAAACCCTGCATGAAATCCCCAGCGGCCTGCCACAAGCTGGGCCCTGGCCAGGACCGGCACGCCCTTCCCAAACCCCACCCCGGAGTACCCAGCAGAGGGGCTTAGCCACCGCCCCCCGCTACCGCAGCCGGCCCTCACGCCCCCAGAGTCCAGCTCCACCCACCGCCGCCCAGACATCCCTGTGCCCAGCCCTGCCCCTGCACTCCTGGTTCGGCCCTGGACCCTGGGGCCGCTTCACACTGCCCGCCACTTCCCGTCGTCGAAGGCTGAAGGGACCTCGGCAGCCCCGCTCACCGAGTTTCCCACAGATTCGAGGACTCTTCCTCCGCTGCCACCAAACTCTACTACCCTGGCCCCGCCCCTTCCCACGCAGACGGAAACCGGAAGCGCAAGCAGCACTGCCCCTCCCCCAACCGAAATGAGGCCCTGTAGGCTCCGCCCACGGTCGCCTTCCGCCCCGCCCCCCCAAGCCGAAAGCGATGACGCCCAGAACTGAGACCGAAGTAGAACTTGGGGTGCGCAGGGAGGCGGGGCGAGTCCTTGGCGGGAAGACGAGGGGGGCAGCTTCTCTAGCCCGCAAGGTCCTCCTACGTCTCTGTGGTCCAGGGAGGGGGCGGGGTCCGACCGTGGGGCGAGAACGGGGTGGGGCGCGGTGCGCCTGGGTTCCGCCTCCCGCCCCTCCTCCGCCTCCTCCCCTTCCACCGACTCGCCCCTGGGGAGGGGTGGGTGGGTGGGGATTCTGGGCGGGTGGCGGAGTCACTGTCGCTTCAGCAAGGCTGTGGAGAGGACGGAGGCGCCTGGTGCCCCGGGGAGGGGTGCCACCAGGGTAGGAGGAGGAGGTGGAGAAGAAGAGACGACCTGTCTGCCCGAGCCCTCTCGAGGTTCTGACCTCAGGGGCTAGGAGACTGCTAAGTTCTTCTACCTCCACTGCCTGAAGAGATCGTGACACTGGAGGGACCTGAGCCCACCGCACCAGGGGCCCCGGCACCGGCCCAGTGGCCTAGAGCAACAGTCTCAGGGACCACTACAAGGTTTCCAGTTGCCTAGACAACGAGCTGGGTCAGAGCAACAACCCTTCCAGCCACCTGCCTCGACTGCTGGCTGGAGATACCCGTCCCAGCCCTGTGCATCCAGCCCAAGTGATATGCCGGTGCTCTCTACCCCCCGGCCTTCGCGGGTGACCACGTTGAAGCGCACAGCTGTGGTCCTGGCCCTCACGGCCTATGGAGCCCACAAAATCTACCCCCTGGTGCGGCAGTGCCTGGCTCCGGCCAGAAGCCCTCAAGTGCCTGCAGGGGAGTCCACCCAGGATGCCTCTGGGGCTACTGGGGCTACTTCGGCCACAGCGGCCAAGGCGGGTGTGAACCGAGTGTTCTTGCAGCGACTCTTGTGGCTCCTACGGCTGCTCTTCCCCAGGATCCTGTGCCGGGAGACTGGGCTGCTGGCGCTGCACTCAGCTGCCCTGGTGAGCCGGACTTTCCTGTCAGTGTATGTGGCCCGCCTGGATGGAAGGCTGGCCCGCTGCATCGTGCGCAAGGACCCTCAGGCCTTTGGTTGGCAGCTTCTGCAGTGGCTCCTCATCGCCCTCCCAGCCACCTTCATCAACAGTGCCATCCGCTACCTGGAGGGCCAACTGGCCCTCTCTTTCCGAAGCCGTCTAGTGGCCCATGCCTACAGCCTCTATTTCTCCCAGCAGACCTACTACCGAGTCAGCAACATGGACGGGCGGCTTCGCAACCCTGACCAGTCCCTGACGGAGGATGTGGTGGCCTTTGCTGCCTCTGTGGCCCACCTCTACTCCAACCTGACCAAGCCACTCCTGGATGTGGCTGTGACTGCCTACACCCTTCTTCGAACGGCCCGCTCCCGTGGGGCTGGCACGGCCTGGCCCTCGGCCATTGCTGGCCTTGTGGTGTTTCTCACAGCTAACGTTCTTCGAGCCTTCTCACCCAAGTTTGGGGAGCTGGTGGCAGAGGAGGCACGGCGGAAGGGGGAGCTGCGCTACATGCACTCTCGTGTGGTGGCCAACTCAGAGGAGATTGCCTTCTATGGGGGCCATGAGGTGGGGCAGGTTGAGGTGTTGAGCATAAAGGAAAGCTTGTAGCCCAGGAACAGGCAACTGAATGGTGGGGAAAGCCCAGGGCTGGCTGGGATTGGTGCCAGAGGCGTGAGCAGGCCACAGGAGAGGGAGGCTGGGGACAGCCAGGGCCTTGGGCAGCCCAGACTTAGGCACAGAAATGGAGAAGCAGGAAGGCTGGGTGGGGACCGCCATGGGCCGGCTGCCCGAATGCTCCAGGCCACTTCTGCTTCCTCTCCTCGGTAAGGCTGCCTGGCCTTGGAGCTGAGGATCCTAGCGGTTTCGGATGCTAGAGCTCCTGGCTCACCCCATTCCTGCAGTCAGCTGGAAGGAGGCTCCTGCTGTCTGGGAGCAGGGAGTGGGATGTGGCCTGCTGCCCGGCTCCTCCTGGGCCCCAGGGCCCTTTGAAGGCCGGCGTCCAGCCGAGCTGGCTGGCCAGGCAGGCATTATGGCTATGACTCAGCCCAAGCGGAGGTTAACAAGCAGCACCCAGCGCGGCGGCCGCAGCAGTGGCAGCACTCAGCACTCTGGGTCAATGGCTTCTCTGCCTGAGCTTGAGGGCCAGCAGGGCTGCTGGTAAGGCTGCCTCCCTGAGGACCTGAGCCCGGGAAGCTGGGCCCCGGGCGCCACCTTGTTGGGAGGCACTTCCTGCCCGCCCAGCGGCCATCCTACCCACCCCCACTCCTCCGGCCCCCTTGAGGCTGTCCTTCCGCCTGGGTCCCAGGGCTCAGCTCCCCAGGGGTCTGGGGCGGGGATGGGGAGTGATGGGGGAGGGGGCTGGGGCAGCCAAGGCTCAGACCTTGGTGCTGGAGAAGGTTACTCCAGGCCACTGCTCCCTTTATCTCGCCCCGGCCCCTCCCCTTCCTCGTGCCTGAGGTTGCAGCTGTCTTCAGCCCGCTCCTTCACTCCCTGCAACTTTAGTTTCAGTTCTGAGTACTTCTCCGGGGGAGGGGTGCAATGGTCTCCACCTCCTGAAGGCCTGTGTGTCCTCCGTGGGTCAGGTGGCCTCTTGTCCCTGGACCTTGTCTTACTGGTTGCTCATTGGACTCCAGATTAGGAGAAAAGCTGCTGGTCTGCAGCTGCAACCCCCTCTCCTCCTCTCACGCACGCCGGGCTGCAGGGCCTTGGCAGGCAGCCGTGGCCTTGGGTGAGGCGCTTGGCACATTACCCGCAGCTACATTGTCAGCCTCAGCCGGCACTCCTGCCAACTCCCAGCACAAGTCAGGATTGCCAGGGTGCTCAGAGGAGGCGTGCTCGCTTCAGGAACAGGAGATTGGGTTTGAGGCAGAACCACAGGATGCGGAGGACCTGTTATGGTGAGAGCAGAAGAGAGATCACTGGCTCTTTGAAGCAATTCCTCTGGGCTAACTTCAGGACGTATTATGTTCACCAGGAGGGTTCAGTGTGGCGGGCTGTGTGCATCCACAGTCTGTCTCTTTAGGCCTTGGCCAAAGGGCTAGAAAGCAGCATGGGATGACAGACCCCCATGGGTGGGTTGATTTTCCTCACTGTGCAGGCATGTAGCTCACCTCAGTCCCACTGGCTGGTGTCCCAGTGGACACTGGCCTAGGCTCAGACTAACAGGTTAGGGCAGAAGTGACTGGCTGGCTGGCAGACAGACAGCAGAGTATTCTGTTCAAACTGAGATTTCGATTATTTAGACACGTACATACACACAACCTCATGTTGGCTTCAGAGTAAGGTAAACCTTTCTTCATAAGTCAAAGCACCAAAGCATCATTTATAAAAATCTGGTTCTCCTGATGGTTCTGCCAGTGTGGTCCAAGTTCCACACCTCTTGCTCCCTTCAGGCTGTGTGAGCTTGGGCAGGTCACTGCCTCTCTGGGCTTCGGTAGTGTCCTATATACAATGAAAATGAGCGCACGGGTGGGGTGGCACGGGGTGAGCATCAAGAGGAGAGTCAGGTGCAAAAGCAATTGGCAAAGGAAATGGTGCCAGCCTGGGCAGCTGTTGTCAGTCCAAGGTGGGAAGGCAGAGCTGGAATGCATGCTCCTGCAGTGAGCCAAGAAATCCATGACCTTGCTGTGACCACTTCCTGACGCCTCCAGCCCCTCTGCCTATCTGGATGCTGCTGCCATGGGAGAGCCTCTTTCTCTCCCACTCTCTTTCCTGCTCTCTTTTCTCCAAGCCTGTGCCCATTCTGAGATGGCAGGTGATGGCCAATGCAGGACGGAGGAGGGGAGGTGCATCTCACTGGAGTCAGCGGCCCAAGGAGGCGAGAGCCAGGCTCAGGCACAGGGGGCTGCCCATTAGGCTGGTTCGGGAGCATGCCCTGCAAGTGTCAGTGGGAGAATGCAGTGGAAGTTTCTTACCCAGAGGATCCCTGGGGAAGGTAACAGGAGGCAGGGCCCAAGTAGACTGTTGGTTGAACCAAGTTCTTCAGAATGAAGTACTTTTGCTTTCCTGCACTGCCCTTTACTGAGTTCGTGTTAGGCCCCCAGCAGTTGTCCAAAGAAACCAGCAAGGTGGCTGCCCTTGGCCAATGTTCAGAAGCTGCCAGGGCAAAGAGAGGGCATGGTGAGCTTCCCAACAACAGAGGTAGTGGAAACAAGGGACCAGAATGAGTTCCTTCTTCACCACCCCTGTACCTCAGTGCCATGACTTCAGACAATTCCATACTGCCCCTGACCCCGAGTTTGAGACCTGTCCACTGTAAATGTGGCCCAGTCATAACCCCCATCTCTCAACCTCATCCTGGCCATCAGATGGCATGGCACGAGTAGGTTTGGCGCTTGGGGCCTCTTGCTTTGCCCCCACGTTAGTTACCACAAGGCCTCTCAGGCTGTCTCTGTCACCTCTCCTTGGCAGGTGGAGCTGGCCCTGCTGCAGCACTCCTATAAGGCCCTGGCTTCACAAATCAACCTCATCTTGCTGGAGCGCCTGTGGTATGTCATGTTGGAGCAATTCCTCATGAAGTACGTGTGGAGCGCCTCAGGCCTGCTCATGGTGGCCGTCCCCATAATCACCGCCACGGGCTACTCAGAATCAGGTAAGAGTCAACACTCCCAGGGGACAGGGGCAGGGCCCTGTCCTCCTGTCCCACTGGATGCTCAGCTCCAGAGGGCCCGACGCTCGGCTGGCCCATCTGCCCCTTCCATTGCTGAGGCCTTGAGGCCCAGCTGGCTTCCTAGAAATCACCACAGCTCACTCTCCCTCACTGCCTTCCACTCTGTGTGAGTCTCCCCTTTACGGCATCTCACACTCTTGGTGCCATTCAGCCGAGCTCAGGGACTTCAACTCAGGAACACCACATGTCCCATCACCCAGCTGTGCCTGTCCT